CTGAAAACAGATCGAGGGATTTCAGAAAATATGTTCACTCCATTCGATATCTATGTAATGAGGCCACATTTCAAGTAACCTACAAGAGGAAAGTTAGGTGTAACCCTCAAAGTGGAGACAAGAGAAAGATAAGGCTACCTGCGATCACAGATGATATACCTGATTGTGGTTGACTGAATAACGTGGCGCGCCAAAGAGAGAGAGAACCGGAATGTGTTAGGCCGACAGGAAGTCTGTAGATTTGGACTTCACTGACGATTTATATATAGTGTCACGGAAACTAAAAGATCTGCAAGCGAAAAACAATAAGCCGGCAGAATAAGCGGCTAAGCAGAACTTCAAGTGAATGTGAGAAAGGAGAGATGATTTCTAATTAACAACCAGAGGCACAAATCCCTATCAGAGGGAGGAGTTCTGGGAAAGTCCCTTCGTCGATTAATGTACGCATAGAACTTCCGCACTGCGGTAGAAGTTAATTCTATGTCAGATAGTTTTACTTTAATAAAACGCTCTAAAAAGCGTGAGAGACAACAAAAACAGTGATTGCAGAGGCGCATAAGGGGGGCACAACAGTAGTTATGGACAAATCAGATTACATAAACAGGGTTAGCCAATATATTAAGACAGGTTCGTATGGGGAAATTAAAAAAACCTGTGAACACTATTATGAAGAAAATCAAAAGATTTACTAGTGATCTAGTGAGCCACATAAAGTCATCCTTGGGTGAGTAAAAATTGTTTTATCTTATGCATAAAACTAATAATCCTGGTAGAATATATGGGACTGTAAAGATTCAAATGGCAGAATATCCCATCAGGGCAATAGTTGACTTCAGGAATATCCCGACGGACGAGTTAGCTAAATATTTAGCATTTATATTATGCCCTAATAGAGATAGGCCGAATTCTAATAATAATTATGTATATTTTCATTTAAGCATATAAATTTACATGAAAATGAATGCTAACTAATTCCCAAGAAACGAATCAGAAACTGGAGGAAATCCATTTCGATAAAGATGAAAAATTGATTAGTATTGACATAACCACTCTGTATACTAATATTCCCATTAATACAATCCTGGAGTAGTTAGGAATGAACCTCGTGAAACTACCAAAGAAGGGCGACTCTGCAAGAGCTGGCGAGGAATCATGCCCCTGTCAACGCCAAGTAAAATTCTGAATCGCATCACCATGGAGCAATTAAAGGACGCAATGGATACAAAACTCCGACCACAACAAGTCGGATTCAGGAAAGGCAAATCATGTACTGGCCAAATTGCAACTCTACGCATCATCATCACAGAACAAAGCATGGAATGGCAAACCAACCTCTACCTGAACTTTATAGACTTTGAGAAGGCCTTCGACAGCGTTGACTGCGAAGTAATTCGAAAACTACTCGAGTACTACGGCGTGCAGCGCCCAAATATTCATCAGCCTTATTCAACAGCTGCACGGCAACGGTGGCACATGTCAAGTGATCCACAACGGAAAACTCAGCGAGGTGTTTGGAGTAAACACAAGAGTCAGACAAGGGTGCTTATTATCACCGACGATGATATTCTTAATTGTGGTGGACCAGATTATGCGTCAGACAGTAGGAAACGAAAAGACAAAGATGTCCTGGACCGAGGCGAAGAACCTAGAAGACTTGGATTTCACGCGCGGATGATTTACGTTTGATGTCACACAAAATAGAAGACTTACAAGCGAAAACCGACCGACAAACTGGTCGAAGAAGCAGCCGGCGAATACAGGACTCCAGGCGAACATAGACAAGACGGAGATTATGAAAATAACCAATAACAACAACACCAACAACCAGCGCCAATAACCGTCAACGGGTGGGATTTGAAAGAGGTTACTTCATTCACTCACTTATCTAGCATTGAGCATTGTCTCAACTACAGGATGTCGGAACGGACGAGGATGTCAAATCCAGCGAGAATCAGGAAGGGGGCCGAGAAACACACACATTCATCAACCTGAAACTAATCTGGAAATCTTCGTCGCCCAGCCACATCAACAACAAAATTCAGTCGGACTTTCAATACAAACAATGTCAAGTCAGTCAGTTCTTCCATACGGATTGGATGATAAACTTGGCGGGCGGGTCACAAAGAATATTTCCAACAGGCTATCGCAGACCAGACCTTTATCAACCGACGACTGTCTTCGCTCTATACTGAAGGTCAGATGGCCGGGTCGGAAAGAATCACCAACAAAAAACTATGGGAAGAAACAAAACAAGAACCAATCGCCAACCAACAAATATGCAGGAGAAAGTGGATGAGATGGATTGGACATTACTCGCTGAGTGAGCATCGCGCTGGGTGACATCGCGCGCATCAGGCCATTGCTTGAGTGGGACTGGGCCGAAGGGGAAGCAGCGAGTGGGACATCAGTGCAAGGGTGACATGGAGGAGATCGTGTGAAACAGTATGTTGAGTTGAAACAGTATGAACTAATATGGATGCAAGTGAAAAGTACAGCAGAAGGAAGACAGAAGTGGCAAGTGGAGACGTGCAGCTGAAGCCCTATGTTCCACTTGGAACCCAGTGGAGCAATAATAATAATATAAGAATGAACTGAATGCTTATCCAGAACTCAAAAGTACGACTAAGCTCCCGGTTGTTTAAATAACATCAGATTTTCAGTTATGTCCAACCTTCACTGTACTCAAATGTTTTTAGATTATAGCTTGTGACCACACAGTATGGAATTTTCAGCGTGTGTTATCGCTAGCTCAAATTTTGCAGGCGGACAACGATATCACGTGTGCGTCAGTGGGAATCGAACTCCGGACCATGTGCATGATCGTCAAGAGTTCTAACCGCTGTGTCACCGACCCAGAAAGCGTGTGTTGGTGACAGTGTGATCACCAATATCCCCAATAGCATCAGATATATTTATGGATAGTTGGGAACATAAGTCCCTAAAAACGTTTAATGCTGCTTCTGGGTTTTGGTGGAGATATGTGGATGACATATTCACTTTGTTGAGATCTTAATATAACCCCTATGTTTTCACAAAAATAAAAAAAATTAGTAGATGAAATGCAATTCACTTCTGGGTCAGAAAACGAACAGGGTGAGTTGGTCATGCCAGATTGTACAATTAACGAATACAAGATAGTGAATTAGATAGCAGCTTTTATGGGAATCCGACTCACTCAAATGAATACTTAGACTTTAATTCATCCTATGCAGAATCAGTAAAGATAGGTTTAGTTCAATGTCTTAATAATGATAATAGGGCATATTTTCATATAAATATATAAATTTATATGAAAATGCATGCCAATTTAACAGGCACGATCAAGTAATAATGGGGTAAAGAGCCTAACTAGTAGGCTAGAAAATTTAAATGTCAAAATCAGACAAAAAAGGATACATTACTAGTGAATAACTACCCACCAGAATTTATTCAGAAATATATGGAGAACCATAGAAAAACTAACACTAGCAATAAAAGTAACTGGAATAATGTAGAATTCAAAGCCTCTGTAGTACTGCCGTATAAAGAAGGAAAGTCAGAGGACTTGGATAAGATTCCTAGTCAGTCTGGAATTATCAAAGTGCCGTTTATACCAAACAGCCCGCTCAGAACTAAACTTTGTTGGCTTAAGGACCCAATTGATTCTATTAAGAAAAAGAATACAAAATACTAAATAACGTGTAATCACTGTGATATCAATTACGTAGGTCACACTAGTAGATCATGGTCAACTAGATTACTGGAGCATAAAAGTTTGACAGGACCTAGAATAATTGTTCCTGCAGAGATGAATAACCCAGAAGAAATCACAGCCGCTGTACTACATTACATTCATTGCATGTAATCACAAAAAGGGGTGGGACAGGGTGAGAGTATTAAAAAGTAATATATTTAGGTCAAGAGAAGCAGGTTCATCACTGAAGCTTTGTTTATCGATTCAACACAGCACTTGTGTGATCGGAATGGCGTAATGCCTATACCGGAGATTTGGAAAGTGGCAACAAACAACAAAGGGAATCTGGAGAAACGGAATAGAGAGAAAGTATATACAGGACAAACTGTGAAAGCGCCTGATTAAAACTGATGAGCAATGATTTATGGTCGAGACGTCATCCTTTGTCGATACTGCTTCACTGTGTGATTATTAGATTAAATTTATCTAATATAGAGTCACTTCTTTCATAGTCACATAGGCAGCTGGCATAACAAAGCAGTATGCTAAGGTCAGGGGATGTCAGTCACGACAGATCTCCACCATTTTAAATCAGTGTGGAAATCTACTGCACAAAGCATAAAGAACAAGATTCGGATTTCACCACCAATGTTAAGACAGTTGTTCTATTTAGTTCAGAGATTTGGAGCCCACGCAACCGAAAGCATTTCGAACAGGCTTCAGACTTTTATCAAGAACTAATTTACATCTACGCTCACATCCAAGGATTAGCAACAAGAAACTCCGGAAAAGCCAACCAACAGATGTGTCAGGTAAAGTGGAGTTGGATAAGATACACGCGAGGAGACTGTTGGGTGACATCGCACGTCAGACCATCGGGTGAAACACGAATGAGAAACAAAGAGTTTGAGCGTTTGACATGAGTGAAATAGCATTTAGTTGAGCAGAAATGTGCTACTTACCCGAATGATGGCTATTTATCACATGTAGAAGACGAAACGAGATCTGGGATGTCCACCAAACTTCAACGACGGCTTAAAATTATATCATGTTTTGTCGTGGCTTTTCATGAAATTTCATTTGCTTACACGAAGGTACTTGTTAAATCTACTGTAGAATGAAAAGCTTTATTTTGCATTTATTTGATCACAAAATATTCTCACATTCTTGAAATATAATAATGTCAAACTGTGTCACCGAATGCAGTGTAAATATGAGTTTTTAAAAAGTAGTGTATTATGTACGTGTGTCTCTACACGGATAATTTGCAAAAATGCATCTGCTAGTCAAATCAAAACTGCATGTGCACCTTCTGGGATAAAAATAAGGCTGACAAAGTTATTGATGATTTCGCTTTTAATATATTCGTAGCACTACTGAGCTTGATAGTTAATTATGGTTTTGACAGTGTACACGATTGTATCTAGAAATAAGCCGACATCTGAAGGCTTTAAGCAGTCATCATTTTATAATCCGACCTTCAAAATGTCGTGTTCCAACTTATTTGATGAATTCAGGCAGAAAAAAGAAATAATGGATCAGTGTTGATAGAAAATAGTCAAAATAATAATGGGTGACATTTTGTTTAAGTCCTCTACTATTCATCAATTTTTAGCTCCACACTATTCAAAGAATCTTCAAATCTCATACGTTTGCGAGACAAACAGTTATACACATACGTTTTTTATCAATTACTAAAATTTCAGTCCGACCTATTAATATGATGGATTCGGATGCATTCATAGACCCAGAGTCTTTGAAGAATGTGGCAGTACAAAAGCGAGAAACAAAGCATCGGTAATAATAATTCTAATATAATGATATGTACTACTAAGAATTTTCGTTAATCGGAGTTTGCAGCTGGATAAAATCAAGTTTTTCGGTTTCGACATGGACTATACTTTAGCACGTAACATTGATTTCAACAGCCTTAGCGGTAAACTATAAATATTTAGAATACAAATCTCCACAGTATGAGGAGCTTGCGTTTGACATTATCAAATCCCGGCTGATCAAACTTGGATACCCCTCCAAAATTGCTGAATTTACTTACGATCCATCATTTCCTCTAAGGTTAGCTGAGTTGAATATTTAATTCTTCTACCGTTTACATTTAGTTTCAGCTGATGTGTATACGGGTATTTAAGTACTATATGGTACTTAGATTCCTCGCAAGTGTGCAGGTGTCAAACTTCTTTAACTTACTTGCTCCTAACACTAAGTTCTATAGTTTGAGTACTACCTAGTACACAAGATCATCGGTGAAATGTCTTGTTAAAAATAGTCTTTTGTGTCCTAATGTTGGAACTATTTGTTAACCATGTGAGGTATGTTTGTGGTGTACTTCACCATAGTCGACTATTACAGTATAAAATCCCTAAGTACTTGTGAAGAGCGAGTAATTAATTTATTGAAAGAATTAGATGCATTGTATGAGTGTATACTTGTTAAAATAATAAAATAATAAGTTAGAGTAATGCACAACAGTGCTAAAGTTTTACTGATTTGGGGAAAAAGACTAAATATTCTGGATGATCCTCATAAGAAGAGATTGCCATTCATGGGATACACTTTCTAACTTTCGGTTCGTCTGCAGTTCACAATATTCTAATCCTTTGCACTTTATTTTCTTGTAACGCTTTTCTATTGGTGTTTGGCTAGTTGGTATTAAGTTTAGGTGATATCGTTATTTGGAGTGTAAGGGTCTGTGTGACTGCTGAATTGAATAACAAAGTAGTGAATTTTGGTGAGTGATATTGAATTATATGTTGGTATTAGGCAGTTTATGAGAATTCTCAGTTGAGTTCTTAATTAGTTGCTTACCTTGTTATTTAGAATAGTTTTCTAATCCCTGAAAGAGGCTTACAGGCTGTAGTCTAAATAATAACAAAATTCTGCGTCGTTTTTCTTACTTCTGATCAAAATGTTTGTGTTCATCTATACTTTTTGACTTCAATGAATATATTGGAAATTATCTAATTTAAAATAAGAACTAATTTGTTGTTCCTGCCGGATGTTAATGAGGTATATTCTGCGTATCCTAGGGGCTTGTGGTTTGATCGACTTTATGGTACATTGTTAAAAATGGATCAATTTGGAAATATCCTTTCGTGTTTACGTGGATTTAATCTTATTCAGAGGTAAGTAATGAATTCACATATATTTTTTTTCGCACATAGAGAAGAGCTTCGAGCAATGTACCCAAATAAATTTGTGAAGTATGATGAGAAGCGTATCGAGATAATGAACACTTTATTCAGTCTTCCAGGTGCGTACCTTCTCTGCTGAGTTAATCTTATCTTAGAAACCTATATGCTTTCATGTGTAATTAACCTATTTGTCAGTGACTCCGATTACATAAAGACGGAGCATGGTTTGAAGAAGGGGACTTTGTACATGTCTTATGCTTCAATATACGAGGATGTGAGGGCTGCATGTGACTGGATGCATAGAGTAAGTTCAAATGATATGATTATGAATTATGTTTTGATGTTTTCTGGTGTATTCCGGGCAATATGGAAGATCAAACGTGTTAAATATATAATGTTTTCCAGTGAAATCTTGCCTTGTTAATCTGCGATGTCCCATGGTCGTTGATAAATTCTGGGTGTGCTTTCTTGTCACTTTTTGCAAAGCCTCACCTTCAGTCTCTTATTTTTGTTGTGAATCAGTTTCAGAAATGACTAGATAAGATACAGGGAAAACAGTGTAAGTGGGTTTCGTGAGCATGTACCTAGATATTTCCTTATGATAAGTAGACATGGTCAGTTTGTGACTAATAAAAGGTTATCGTGAGGTCCATAGTTATGAATAAAAATAACGATTTCTTAGACTAATTCCAACATTCATTGGTCAAATATTCACTCTTAGATAAATTGTCGAATATATATACTCATCACTTTCGGTTTGATTTTATTACCAAGAAAGTATTAAGACTGGGATTGACAGCAGAAAGAGTATCAAGGTGTATTATGCTAACTAAAACAGTTTGTTCGACTTCATACAGCAGTTTAAAAGCTTAAATTTAGTTGCCATGTTGTCCTCAAGAAGTGTTGAAAATTTTATTATTATTTTATTATATTATGAACGAATCGATGAAAGCGTGTTTGACTTTTATGTCTCTGTAACAAATTTGACAGCATTGAATGAAATCTTTAATTTACTGTACGTGAACGATGTACTTATTTTGTAAAGTGTTTTAAACAGAATGATTATGCTTGACATGTGATTACCTTTCATCAAATCCATGTACAGACATTATAGTGATGGAACATGTTGATGACACTAACTTGAGAAGGTACATGAGCCCTTATGAAGTGGTCTTTGATAATTCAAGAGACGTTAGCATGTGTTGCACACACTGATCCAACTTTTTGTAGTTCTTGATGTCATTTTACTGCCTTTCATTTACCTTCAATGCAGTGTGTAGATGTAAGGTGTAGCATCGAGTACTAGGTAGGTGGGAGGGGAAATCAATCGACGAGGCTATGAAACTACATCGACTGAGGTGGTTAAGACATGTGTTACGAATCCATGCCTAGTCATCGCCTTCCTCGACAATGGGCAATGTTAGCTGACATAGGGTCAGGATGGAAGAGAGCTAGTGGCGGTCAAACCGAAACGTTGCCTCACCAGTCAATGAAATCTACAACAGTTAGTCTGAGCCACGTAGGACTGGCTTCCTGGTTGGGGTCGTCGGGACGGTAGAAACCAATGGTTGGAAACAATCTGTGATATGACTGGCTCAAAATCGTTGTCAATGGCTGGCGCAGATACATCCCTTCCTTGGGATTTATGATTTGCAATGAAACTATGTTGTTCTTCGTTATTACTATTCCGTTGTTTCACACCTCTGTTTACTGTCTGTATTATGCAGTTATTGCACTTTCTTCTCTTGCTTTGTGTGCTACAAGGAGGGAGTGTGGCGACTCGAACATTCGGTGCAAAGTTCTATGTCGAAAACAGAGAGACAGACAAGGTGTAGCAACGTAGACTGACACAATTGAATCATTTGACGCGCACCTGGTGCCAGCCTTTCAAACCTAAACTGAAGGGTTAATTTTAAGTTAAATGTTGAACTTAGTTATACACAAGTGCTACACAAATCTCTTACTATTCAGGATTCCCACCGAACTCCAGAACTGTCTTCGCGTAAAAGATCTAGGTGTAGGATTGTGAAATATTTTACTGTAGTCGCTATTTGGCATGCCTGTTACACATGAGCTCAGATGAACTCTAAACATTGAAATTTGCACATAATTGCAGCAATTCTAGTTCCTACATTCCATATAGCACACAGAAAAGCTATCAGGCGTATTTTTAAGGAAATTTTACTCTTACGGTGTTAGTCTTCTCTAGTCTCTAGTTTTCACGTGTTAGGTCCATGAAGTTAGAATATGTCAGTTAACATGACCTTGGTAGTCCAGATTAGATAAAAATAAGCCATCATATCAAGATATCAAGTGTTGAAATGAACTTATTCTCATGTATTTAGTTCTGATGATGGATATATATATATAGTTTGTGACATCCTCCTTTCGATTTTAGGGGGAACTAAAGCAACGTACTTTGGCGAATATAGGAGAATATGTTGAACGTGATCCCCGTCTTTGTGTTTTGTTAGATAGGTAGGTTATTATTTTATTCTTTGCATCACCACTATTAAACCGATTGATTCACATTTTTGCTAACAAATTGTAATAATTAATTGCTTATCATAAGAAGTTTTATCAATATCATCATTCCATTTTGTTTTGTTTCTAGGTTACGTGTAAATGGTGCCAAAGTATTCTTATTGACCAACAGTGATTTCGAGTACTCTGATGTAAGTCCATTGATACTTTGAATCATTATTTTTAAGTCAAAGAAATATTTTTTCCGCGCTTGTTCTAATAATGTTTTCTGGATGAATTAGTTGAATGTTTTTTTGGACACCTGTTGAGGCACAAATTTGTTTGCGATTCACTTGCACAGAGTAAAACAAACTTAAATGGTTAGATAATTCTAATTGTTCACTAGTAGTAGATAAGGATTAGTAATTTAACACAGTTGTTTTAATTACTCTATTTGTCCGTCAGTGATTGTTGGAAATTGTAGTCTGTCTATAGAGCTTTTCTAATAACCACTTGGAAAATGCAGGTGTAGTGAGTACAGCCGGTGTAAGTTCCTCACCGATTACGCTTGCTACACAGCATGCAGTGACAAGTCTTACAGAAAGCTGTTTCTCGTTAACACCAGGTAAGACAACATAGAACCTTAAACTGAGAGAATTGGTTCGGGTTATCACATCGCTTCAGAGGTCACCAACATTGACCGCAAATAAAGTTATGGGCATTAACAAGATAAAATGACATACTAATAATTTACTGGCTGTTTTAGGTATGATGAGTAGATTATTATTATTGTTGTTTCCTGTAGTTCCTAGAGGAACATAGGCTTCAGCCTCACGTATCCATTGCGTTAGGTTCTCTACCAACGTTTCCACCTGGCTCCACGTCTGCCCACATGCTTTCATCTCCTGTTCGCATCACCTCCTCCTCCATGTCACCCTCGCACTGACGACCAACTCACCGCTTCCTGTTCAGGTTCCACTTGAGTAGTGGCCTGTCTGGTGATGATGTCACTTGATGGTTTGTTTCCACAAAGTATGGCCAGTCCACCTCCATTTCTTACTGCTTATTTGTCGCACAGTCGGTTCCTTCTGTGTTAGTTCACTCCCAGAGATTCCTCCCTGTTGCTGATCTTTTCTGGCCGGCCATCTAATCTTGAGTAGTATTGAGCGAAGACAGCTGTTGATCAAGGTCTATATTAGATACTACTTCTATTTTCTTTATCGAATCTGCCTTCATATTTCAGATGGTTTGTCTTAATACATAATGAACAACTCAGTTAGTTATTGAACAACTGTACACATTTTGTACCGTTTCATGTGGTTTTGAGGTCAGTCATTACTTGAATGTACCAACTCACAGAATTCGTTGTACTGAGGGGGCATCATTTCATCTATCTTTACTAAGTGCTATTTTCATTGACATTTAACTTGGTTTCCTCGCTTGTGAGTGGATAAGTTTTTGAATGGCATAGCATACTAACAGTCTCTCAGTGCTAAACCTTTGTTGTCTTACAACTCATCGTTATTAATAATTACTCCAGACTCTTCAACTGCTAATAATTGACACAAAACAGTGTGGCACAGTTAAGTTTTACTTATGATAAGGGCGAAAGATATCTTAACTGTACACATATTTTCATCAATGTCGTTCAACAAAATGGAGTTTATTAGTGTCTCTGATTAAATGGATTCTGCCTTAAGAGATAGTTTGTGGGAAGTGAAAGGCAGACAAATTTCTCTGTACTAATTTCTCCACAGAGAGGCTGAGTAGGAATAGCGGGAATGAACGCCCTCGGTGAACATGACTGTTTGGTAACTTTTCATCAACTGCCAAGTCAACCGTTTTTTTTGTGAGATTGCAAACGGTTAGAAAGAAACAGTTTTCTTTACATTTCCAAAATGTCTTCTGTTATCATGTTTTCACTCTACACTATTGTTTATTTTAGGCGATTATGAGTTACATTTTGGAAATTCCTAGACCTGATGTAAGTCGTAACAATTTTTTAATTGAAATGTTTGAATAATATAAAATTGTGCAGTGATCAGTTTAAGTATACATTTATTCAGCACCTTTTGTATATAAATGATGTAAAAACGGATGATACACTTTTTCGTAGACCAACTTTGAGTGTGGGCTGAAATCTCGTTGAGTCAATTGTTGTCTGGTTACTTGATTTTGGTCTTGGAGTACGGAAATAAGTACTTTGGGTGTGGACTGAAATTTGATGAATGCGAGCAATTCTTGTCTGCCAGATTGATTTTGGGAATTGATAACAGACACAAATTACAATGTAGCTAAATATGCATGTTTTTTATTTTTCGTTTGCTTAGATGGTTTATCTCTTCCACGTGACATTGAGATGAAATTTACTTGGTTGTCAACTTTCTACATGAAATCTATGTAATCACTAATTGAGCTTTGTTAGCTAGCCATTTACACCCCATTTCAAGTCCTCTTTTGAGTGAATGTAAAGTGATTTCAAGTTTGTTCAGGGGACATTGTTATTTTCCTTCCGAGACAGTAATTCACACACGTAAATCTTCAGATTTAAGAGATTTCTTCTTCTCAAAAGTCGTATTTTTTCCCTCTTAAGGAGAAGTTTTGCTTGGTTTCTAAAGAAGAAAAAGAAAGGACAAAGTTTTCTGGAGTTCTAGTGAGAAGTTGTAACCAGTAGGATCCACCTGGTCGGTAGTGAGGACAATTAGTCCCCGATGACATTGGCTGACGGTTACGCTAAAATCTCGAATTAGTAGAAGTTAGAAGTTATAGGCTATTGAGTAGGGTCCCAGTGGCTGAATTGTTTACGAGTTCACGTTGTAACCAGAATGGTTCTGGTGCGAACTGCAGAAGAGTCTGGGATGGGACGAAACAGCTAGCTATTCAGTACTTCCTGCTGGTTTTCAATAGTTCTCTAACTGGTATCAACTTAGTGGGCAAACTTGAAAATTTTTTCAGCCGAATACCTACGAGATAAAGGCTATGTGGAAGGAGTTGTTGTCATGAAAAATCAAAAGAATAATGAAACGAAATCTTAGAATATGTATGATAAAGTGAAGTCAAATAAAATGATGTGACTATGGAGTAAATAAGACAAGTTCTTAATAATCTCTTATTTATTAAGGTAAACCGAGTCCAGGTGAATAAGATAGGCAGTACAAAAATAGTTTTTGTGCTTACAGTTCTGGCTTAATCAAATGTATTATTAGGGTTTCCACAATAGAGAGCAGGTACATTAGCAGACCTTTTGGTAGGTGTTGAAAGATACTCACTGGACAATGTCATATGTCTATTCCCTTGGGTTAGTGCTGACTGAATTTTGTCCGTCAAGTTTGCATTGTGGTCACCTTGTTAAATGACCTGCCATAGCAGTGCACTCTGAATGCCCAGTCCATCAATCTCTATTCCCTGCTACATATTTGTTGAGCAGTCGGATCTCGGTTGGTTTGTTCATAGCCAGAGTTTCTTGTTGCTGATTCTTTCAGGCCAGCCGGACATTTTATCTTCAGCATGCAGCCACCCAGATCTGTCAATAGCGATGGGATAGTACGCAACCTAATGGTTGTGTGCAAGGTTTGAATAAAGCTGTGTGCTATATGCATGCTCGTCGCCCTGATAATGTTGTGCGTCGGTGGCATAGCGGTTAGGACGCTCGCCGACCATGCACATGGTCCGGGGTTCGATCACCGACCACAGACGCACTCCTTTACCTCGCTAAGCCAGAAATAATGCTGGTAAAGAGGAAAGATTGGGCATGAGGCTAGCAACCCCATCCTGTGAAAATAAACACTGGTGCAGGAACTTCAAGCCAAACATAAAGCCCTATGTTCCACGGGGAACGTGAAAGAAAAAAGAATGCAGCCAGTGAAGTTGGCAGCTATTGATAGAAGTCCTCACTGGACTGTTGGAAATCCTGACACGTGACACGTAGTGACTGACTTGACATTTGTGTTGAAAATTCGAGTCTTGTCCCTTATGCTGGCTGACTGAGTAAGTGCATAGGATTTCCAAAGTGATTTCAGCTTGATGTAGGCGTATCTTGCCTTTCTGACACTGGCTAGCTTTGGTGCGTTGGCAGCACAGTGGTCAGAACGTTCGCCGACAATGAACACATGGCCTGGGATTCGATCCCCGGCTGATGCACACCTGATATATCTATGGTCGGCCTGTTGAATTTGGGCTACCGATATCACATGAGGAAAATTCCATACTTGTACCAAAATACTGTGAGGAATCAAGCTAAAATCAAAATAAGATAAATAAATGATTGAAGGCAATCGATAAGAAGATAATACTACTACCTCTATATTAGGAGGAATGATATCCTTTGGTTTCCGTTTATTAGGTGTTACGCTGAAACTTAACCCTTTCTCAAATACTTTTATCTCACTAGAGCTTAGTTCTCTTGATGAGAGGTTGATCTACTACTTTGTTTTGTCAATAGACGATGAAACGTTGTTGTCAACTTGTTCATTTATTCCATTATGGAGAAAAATTTGTTTTGATAAAGTCTCACAGTGTTATACAGTAATGTTTACTGATAACCACGTTTCGAGCACAATTTATTACTGCTCATAATCATATCAAGGCACTACTCACACAACTTTCTAACTTCATTTATATAGCCCCATTATTTTTCACTTGATTTTCGCTTGATTTGATTGGTAGTAGTATTTTCCATATTCCGGGTATGAGTGATGAATCATTTCTACTGCATGTGTTGGGTGTAGGACTCGATGAACAAGGATTCAGTAATCCGCCTCTCTCTCCACCTACCTAGATTACTTTTTAGAATTTTCATTTTTTTTAATTAATTTATCAAAACAAATTTTTCCCCATTTTGGAATTGCACTCTACTACAGTGCACAAGTTTTATTCTTATATCAATTGCTCATATATTTTGTTGCTCTTTTCTTCTATTAATTTGTTAAATTTCTTAGTGTGTCTGTTTTTTGATTTTCTTAAGGCTGTTTCTCTAGCTTTTTTTGGATGTTTCAACCACGATCTCATAATGTTTGTCACTGATCATGCATTTGAGTTTTTCAATTTTATCTTGTGTATTGCTTAGTATCATAATAATAGTAGACATACTTATGTCGAAGAGAAGAAGAACTACATAGATTGGATAGGAAGCCTTGGACCTATGTTTCGTTCTTGTAGGCATTTGACCGCGAGGCATATCTGTAGTCTTGAATGAGATTCATATCGCCTAGCATGGTGACTGCTAAAATTCATTCTGCATCGAACGAAGCACTAGACATATGACATTAGTATCCAGTGGAAGTAGCCATTAGAGGCCTACAGAGGAGGTCAATCGTGAGTATGAATGGCTTAGTGGTAATGTCTCTGACTACAGCACTGGGTGATGCGTGTTTCAATCTCATAGTGGATATGAATTCCCTCAAGATTGCAGATGCTCCTTGCTGACGAGTGTCAACAAACACCAAAACCTGGATCTATGGCTTCCTACCGTTTGCCTCCAAACACCTAAAAATGATGAAAGATAATACAATACCGGCTGTAAGAAAGAGGAATTAATGAATCTATGTTCTGCTTCGCTCAATCAAGCTGACAGAGGTACTCCTAAACTCGATGGAAGGCTTTTCAATAAACATCATTTATGTCCTCATTAAACTGCTTTCCAGGTCTTCACTAGAAATGTCAACTCCAAGTTGTAGGTTTGACTAACCCTCTTTGTGAGTAGCACATCAGATAAAAGAGATTTTGCAATTAGTTCCTTTTTCTAAATTACTGTGGATAGCATGTTGACTGTCATTGAATACCTGTATGATGTTTGGCAAATCACAACTATCGACACACATGACATGAGTGATATGACTGTGAAAGAAATTCTTTTTTGTGATTTACCGACAAGTCTCCAATAATGCTTTTCTGTTTAATATTCTCAGGGTACCATCAGGAAATGGACAACTTATTTCGACTATATTGTGACTGATGCAAGGAAACCAGCGTTTTTCCAAGAAGGAACCATTTTAAGAGTTGTTTCACAGGTAAGTGTTAAAAGCTCATCGCTCTCTAAGCCGCTGGTTTAGTGTATAAATTGTGCAGCGTAACTGCTGTTATTTTTTTAGTGCAAACTTTTTCTGTTCGACAGCGTTATCGTATCTATAACCTGGCCTAGTTTGCTAGCCAATCTTGAGTAATGCCCTGCAAAATAAGCCCAATCGCTATGGGGAAACTCCAACCATAGGAAAAATAAACCTATTCTTCACTGGGATTGGGGAGAGACGAAATGATGATGGCGGCTGGTGAAAACCTTCGGAAAGTCAATCAGACGATGTGTGTTCTCTCAATGAAAACAAAAATAAGCATAGTAGAAGGGCTGACTGAGAGGGCTACTCAGGCTTCTAAAGAGGAGATGAGAAGACACAGTATTGGACTGCTTGGAATGGGGGGGAGTAGACTCCCGGAATCTACTCCGGTCACCCAGGTGCTAAACATGCACACACTGAAGGAATGGCTATATCAAGATATCACCAATAGTATCGAAGGTTTTTATGCAATGGAAACCAATCTCTCACAGGATATTGACTGGCAGCAAGGTTCGATTCGAAAGGTAGGAAAGAAATCCACAAGGAAGTCACTTCTGTTTCACTTGTCTAGGCAACATTGTCTCACAGTTACAGATGGACCGTAAGGATGAAGATGTCAAAGACAGTCCGGATTGGAAAGGCAAGACAGATATTCACTATTCTGAAATCGGTCTTTTAATCTACTGCATTATTGTGAATGTTCCCTTGTGTTCCTAATGGAACATAGGGCTTCAACTGCACGTCTCCACTTGCCACTTCTGTCTTCCTTCTGCTGTACTTTTCACCTGCATCCATGTTAGTCCATACTGTTTCAACTCCTTTCCACACGATCTCCTTCATGTCACCCCATCCTCGCACTGACGTCCCACTCGCCGCTTCCCTTTCAGCCTGGTTCCACTCGAGAAATGGCCTGACGCTCGCGCGATGTCACCCAGCGCAATTCCTCCTCAGCGAGTGTTCAATCCATCTTCATCCCCTTTCTCCTGCATATTTATTGGGCGATTGGTTCTTGTTTTGTTTGTTTGTTCCCATAGTTTCTTGTTGGTGATTGTTTCCGGCCCGGCCATCTGATCTTCAGTATAGAGCCAGTGAAGACAGTTGTTGCTGATAAAGGTCTGGTCTGCAATAGCCTGTTGATGGAAATATTCTTTGTGACCCGCCCGCCAAGTTTCCGATTCGTTCCCTATCGAAGAACTGACTGACTTTGACGTTTGTATTGAAAATCCGACTGGATTTTGTTGTTGATGTGGCTGAGTGACGAAGATTTCCAAATGAACCTGTAACCAATCTGGAAATCTTCGTCACTCAACATCATCAACAAAATTCAGTCGGATTTTCAATACAAACGTCAAGTCAGTCAGTTCTTCGATAGGGAACGGATCGGAAACTTGGCGGGTGGGTCACAAAGAATATTTCCATCAACAGGCTATTGCAGACCAGACCTTTATCAGCAACAACTGTCTTCACTGGCTCTATACTGAAGATCAGATGGCCGGGCCGGAAACAATCACCAACAAGAAACTATGGGAACAAACAAACAAAACAAGAACCAATCGCCCAATAAATATGCAGGAGAAAGGGGATGAAGATGGATTGAACACTCGCTGAGGAGGAATTGCGCTGGGTGACATCGCGCGAGCGTCAGGCCATTTCTCGAGTGGAACCAGGCCGTAAAGGAAGCGGCGAGTGGGACATCGGTGCAAGGGTGACATGAAGGAGGTCGTGTGAAGAAGTGTAAAGCAAAGGATTCGGATTTTCTAGCCCAATGTCAAGTCATCCAGTGCCTCGAAATGGTTCAGAGACTTCGCGTGCCATCAAAAAAAGTGACATGGAAGAGATCGTGTTAGTTAGTTGGAGGAGATGAGCTAGTTTAGGAGGACTGCAGGTAACAGGATGAAATGGAGATGTACTATTGAAGGCCCTATGTTCCACTAGGGGGGGGGACCTTTAGTCGTATACAGACATGCTTATACAATACAATACGTCAGGGTGTATGTGAACATGGTTAACTGAGGTGACATCATAGTATAATTTGGTGCTTATATCTTGAAAAAAATTTGCGACTTCATATTCTATGATTAAGTTGATGAAATTTCTGTTATCTTTGTATCCTCATCCATTGAAATTTTGCCCGTCGAATCTGTTGTAGCTAAAAGTGTAGGCCTCATTTTGCTTAACTTCAAGGGAGAATTGTTCAACAAATTCACTTTCACCTACTCTACATAACAAAAACAAAAATCTCAAAGAAAATAAAACAAAATTTGAATATGTATATTTTTACTGTATTGTGTTCGTCAAATTATCTTTCGGTTTTATTTTTATAGTCAAATGTGTGTAAGTTTAGTTTTAACTCAACAACTATTATCTTGCATACATATACATATTGTCATTGCAAGTATTATTGTTACCTGAAATATGAATGTGCTCATTATTATCTATCTCCTCCGTGTTTGTTGTAATCAGGGTGGCTCACTTGACTACTTAACGTACTAATATATTATTATTCTCTCCTTTAGTTCCCAAAGGAACATAGTGTTTCAGCCACACGTCTCCATTGCATTCAGTTCTCTGCTAGAGCTTTCACCTGGCTCCACGTCCGCCCACATGCTTTCATGCTGTTTCCACATGACCTCCTCCATGTCATTCCACCCTCACACTGACGAGCAAGTCGCCAATGATCGCCAATTCGGGTTCCACTCGAATGATGACCTGGTGTGTGATGTCACTCATTTGATGGTTAGTTTTCTCAAAGTCTGGCCAATCCACCTCCATTTGTTCCTGCTTGGTTGGTTCGTTGCCAGAGATCCCTCACTGGTGTTGATCTTTTCTGGCCAGCCATCTGATCTTGATTAGTATTGATCGAAGACAGCTATTGATGAGGGTGTGTAATTTGTTTGAAGTTCCCTTCGTGACGCGGTGCCAAATCTCTGATCCGTATAGTAAGTAGCACTGACTTTACACTGGATTTGAAAATCCGGATCTTATTTTCATTTTCATGCTGAGTGCTGTTGACCTCCACACAGACTTGAGAGAAATGAAAGCTTGTCTTGCTTTCCCAATCCTCGCCAGTTCTGACTGTGGTTGAAACAATACTTCTCAGGTAGGTAGTTGGGTAGGTAGGTAAAGTGGGTTGCTTCTTCCAGATTTTTCCCATTTATGCTGACTTTTGTTATTGCCCAGGAATCTTCATCACCTCTGTTTTCTCTGTGTTCAGCTGAAATGAAGCCTATCTTCTCTGGATGCTTCTTGTGCCAACTTGTTGCTTTTTACTTGCATATGTCCCAGTTTGTGGGAAGTCGGCCACATGTCATTGGCGAAGTCCATGTCCTCTAAGTATTTTGTGTGGGCCCATTTAATGCCTGCCGCCTCGTTTCCCGCCTCTGTCTGTTGCATTATCGAGTCTACCGCAGTCAGGAAAAACATTGGAGATAGTAGGCAGCCAGCTTTATCTTACTTCCGTCTTCACTTCAAAGGATTTCGTGAGTTTCCCTGTGTGGATTACTTGGCATGCAACATTGTCGTACAACTGTTGGATGAGATTTATAATTGTTGGCGACACCCTATGGTAGTAGCGAAGTAGTTTCCAAATCACCTTTCGATCGACGCTGTCGAAGGCTTTTACTGAGTCAATGAAGTTGAGATAGAGAGGTGACTGCCATTCCAAGCTTTGTTCAGTGATGATCCGTAGTGTTGCCATTTGATCGATGCATGACTTGTTCCTCCTGAATCCAGCTTTTTACGGCCGAAGTTTTTCATCCAGGGTGGCGTTTTTGATTCTTTCCAGGATGATGCGGCTTAGTATTTTACTTGAGATGTAAAGGAGCATAATTCGGCTCCAGCTCTTGCGTTGACTTAAGTCTCCTCTCTTTGGCAGTTTCAATAAGTAGCCTTTCTTCCAATCCGCACGTACTAATATATCACATTATTTATCAGTATCATTATTATTTTATCCCTCTGCTTTCCGAGTGGAACATATGAGGGCTTCAAGTCTGAGATTTGAAGTTTCATTAATAGTGGTGTTTATTCTGTACTGGATATGGTTACTAGCCTCACCTTCCCTCTTTTGTCAGTCTTAAAACCAAGTAGGGTAGGTAAAGGTGTGCACCTGCCGAGGACTGAATCGCGGACCACCGAACAACCGATGCACATGACAACTTGAAATATACTCCTACTTATAATATGGTGTGGCTGAAGAATTTTGAATGTAAAAGGAAGCTCATCCTAACATCATTTGTGTTCCTTTTCAACTCCCTGAGAACCTCCGTCAGTTGGAATCCCGATGGAAGGCGACGAGTGCGTCGTCCTCAGGTGACATGGCGGAAACTGTGCGAGGTGGGAACGAGAGATTATGGGGAATCGTGGGCCCAGCTGAAGAGAACGGCGGATGACAGGACAAGGTGGAGATGTGTTGTTGAAGCCGACGCTATGTCCCTGTCGGAACATAGGGCAATCATGAGTCGGAACCTGAGGGAATGATAGTAATAATAATAATACTGTACTGTATTTTACTATATATGTACATAACACCACTATATCAAAAACTGTTATAATTTATTTTACTTTATTTTATCTAAGTTGTTTGTTGTGTGAATTGACAGTTGATTTATTCGAATATTTTTATTTGTTTCTTTAAGGAAACTGGCCAACCGAGTATAGGTCATCATATGGGTCCTTTAGAAACTGGTCAAATATACTCTGGAGGTAATCAACGGTTTTTAGCAGTATTACTGTGATGTTTGTTAGATTGTATTTTTTTTTCTTGATTATGTCACTTTTGGTTGATGGTGATTGGCAGTGAAATGGGGGATATGCATTTCATCTTACTGGAGTTCTTCATCATTAGCAGTGAGCAGTGGTGTTTCTTCTACTCAGACTCGAACTCAGCTCTCATCGGTCCAAACACTAAAGCCACTGAACGGCCACCTTTCATGCAATTAGTATCAAGTTTTATTTTGTATTGCGCAAATGGGCTGGTTATATTGAACCGCGAAAGGCTCGGTGCGTGCTGACATGTCAACTTGTAGTACGGAGGCTTCGACGATGTCTGAAGGTGAACATGACTAGCATTTGAGTCCAGGATGTATATTTCGTGTTTCTTTTCCCCTTTTATTGATTTAATTTAAATTAGGTTGTTCAAAATGTTATCTGTTTTTCCTAATTTGACTTCTAGAATTTGGCGGTCGCTTTAAATTCAAGAATGAATACTGTAGTAATCATATCTCATTTATATAGTTTTAGTAGTATAACACTTATGGAGTAGAATTTTCAATCGAACTGTCATCACAACTGTTCCCTCAGGTTCCGAGTGGAATATGGAGCTTCAGCAACACACCTACACTTTGTCCTATTCTTTGAAATCCTCTTTAACTGGCCTACCGGTTGCCTATAGCCTCTCACCTCCTCCTCGAACGAACTCCACCATGTCGCCCTCAAACCTACGCCCAATTCGTCGTTTCCCATTCAGGTTCCACTTGAAAGTCTGATTTGCGATGTCATCCGATGGTCTCTTTATGGTGTGTCCCATTCATCTTCATTCTCTTCAGAACATTTGTTGAGAAATAGTTTCTTGGTTGGTTTTTTCTCAGAGTTTCTCGTCGACAATTGTTTCTAATGATTTGATTTGTGGTATGCAGCGGGCGAAGGCAGCTGTTGATAAAAAGTCTGCAGTGACCTGTTGGAAATGCTTTTTTTGACGCACCAAGTCACTAGTCTATGTAAAAGAACTTACTTGACAATGTTATTGAAAATTTATTTATGCTGAATTAGTGCAGAAGATTTCCAGACTAGATTTTTGAGTGTGATGAAGGTTTGTCTTGCCTTTCCGATCCTGGTTTTGCCATCCACATCAGTGCTGTTGCCTGTATAGTTGAAACGATGTTCCCCAAGATAAGTGAAGGGGAAATGACCTCTTTCAACTAAATCTGTTTTGTTACAATGAGAGTTGATAAAGGAGACTGTGGCATTTCTTTTGTCAGTTTGTATGCCCCTTGAATCTTGATTACATACGCTTGTATTGCACGAAAACAGTGTGTAATAAGACTATATGGAGTTGAGTTTTGTTTGTTCGTTCAATAATAGAATACTCTCTTTAATCATCAACATGGCCTAGGGTTTGATTTCCAGCTAACACACTCCTGAATCTCGCATTTTTTTCCTTCACGTTCCCAGTGGAGAATAGGGTCTCAAGCTGGTGGCTTGAAGTTTCTTTAGCAGTGTTTAATTTTACAGGATGGGGTTGCTAGCCTCATGCCCAACCTTTCCTCTTAACCAGGATTATTTCTGGCTTAGCGAGGTAAATGAGTGCGTCGGTGGCCGGGGCTCGAACCCCGGACCATGTGCATGGTTGGTGAGCATCTTAACAGCTGTGCCACCTCGCATAGCCAGTAATAATTTTGGTAATAAAGAGAGAAAATGTGGTTTTAGGTTAGCAGTTTGACAATATTGTTCCACAATTATTTTTATTTTACTTTTGACCTTTTCTGATCTTCCTGATGAATTTTATAGGATAGTTATTAAATATCAACCCCTCTTCTCTATGTTTTATTTCGTTATTTAAGTCTTTTCTTGTGCTACTTAGTGCTATTGCTCGGTATGTTAGATACTTAACCTGCCTTCACAGACAACGAACGGATGAGATGAATTAAAGTCTAATTATCTATTAGAATGTGTTGGCTTTTTATGAACGCTAGTGTGCAGTTTAATTTCTCCTATTTTTCTTATTTTACAATCTAACACCATAGCTAATTCTCCTTGTTCATTTCCCGATTCAAATGTGAATTTTATTCCCTCTACTTGTGCGTTTATATGTGTCAGGATGCTAGAGAGAGATATGTTCTGTTTTAACACTGTGTGTGAAAGTGTCATCATCCACATATCTCCACCGTATTATCTTTGAAGTAGGATTAAATGTTGTGTTAAGAGTGAATAATATTTTCCTATCTGTCCAAACAGATATCTGCTACGATAGGGGGATATATTGGTGATCCATCTCATTGCTACACCTTCTGAATTGTTTCTATGAAAACACCGTTTGGCTGGTTGTATTCCATTTTTCATGATCTACCAACTTATTTTTACTCTGTGATTGCCGATTGACTGACTACTACTAACTGACTGATAGTTTACGTAAATCGTGTGAAAGTCAGTCGGACAGACTGAATACACCTATTTTTATAAGCTATCAGTCATTATTTGCGTGATATTTTTGTAAGCATGCATATTGTTAAGCTAGATAAGTATAGGTAAGTTAGCACAATAGAACAGTTAAACAGCCTTGGAAATACTGTAAAATAAGTTAGTTTCAACTACCTGAATATGTAAACACCAGTAATTGTAACGTAATAATGCTATGTGAGCTTAATAAATATTTATATAAGTACAAAAATTTGTATTTTGTAGACATATATATATATATATATATATATACTTAAAAGTGGAGTTTTCGGCGGATATGCATAGCACTTGGGCACTGTGGTAGAATTTAATTCCGTATCAGACAAGTTCATTTTGATATACAATATTAATATAGCTGGATGACGTTTCCACAGGACATAGTGGAGATAAGAATAATAAGTAATGTAAATAATTAAAATAATATAAATAATAAGAAATTTAAAGCCATCATAGGACTACTACTACTACTACTACTACCTACCATATGAACATCAGAAAACTTACGTCTGTCTGTCTGTTTTCGACATAGAACTTTGCACAAATGTGCACCAGTTCAAGTCGCCACACTCCGTGTAGCACGCGAAGCAAGAGAAGAAAGTGCAAGTAAAGCATAATAGAAGCAGTGAGCAGAGGTGTGAGACAAAGGAGGAGTAATAACGAAGAACAAAACAGTTTCATTGGAGATCATAAGTCACAAGGAGTGGATGCATCTGCGCTAGCCACTGAGAATGATTTTGAGCCATGTCACCAATTGTTTCCAACCATAGATTTTTACCGTCCCGAGGACCCCAACCAGTCTGGAAGTCTACACCTTCCTACGTGGCTTAGACCAACTGTTGTGGATTTAATTGACTGGTGCCAAGTTTTTGTTTGACCGCCGCTAGCTTTTTTCCAGCCTGACCCTATATCCGCTAAGATTGCTCGTCGAGGGAGGCGATGGCTTGGCATACGTAACACATGTCCTAACCATCTCAGTCTTTGTAACTTCACAACTTCGTCGATTGATTTCCCCTGTTTGCCTAGAACTCGACGCCTAACCTCAATGTTGCTCACCTTATTATACCACTTCACACGGGAGATGGAACACAGACACCTATGATCAAAGACACCTAGTCTTTTCATGTCTTCCACTCTGAGTGGCCAGGTCTCACAGCCATAAAGGAGGACGGAGCGGACTGATGAGCAGTACACCCGCCCTTTGGTCGATAGTCGAACATCTCGTCTACGCCAGAGTCGGCGTAAACTGGGATATGCGAAACGAGCCCCCTGTATTCGTGCTGAGATTTCGTCAGAGATCAACCCTTTGGCGTTGGCTGATGGTACTTCCCAAATAAGTGAAGCGGTCAACGTGCTCTACCAATTCACTTCCTATTTTTAAACTAGGCGTCGATGTAGTCCAGTCCTGTAACATCATCTTGCATTTGGCGGGAGCGAATCGCATGCCAAACATTCGTAGATTGCGGCTCAAGGTGTTTAGAAGACTCTGCATTTAGTCAGCGTCTTCGCCTAGAAGGACTATATCGTCTGCATGTTTACGTAGAATTCTTAATTAGGCTAGATTGAATTAGGGTAGCATTTAAAACCAGTTAATCAACTCACTAAGGGATTAACCTTTTTCGGCTTCAGGGCCGTTTGCTTAGTTGGACAGGCTACATTGTTGTTAGCTGTAAAGTTATATGCATTCAGTGACATGGTAACAGCACAGGGCAGTTTTGATTCGTTTATTTATTGGTCAAATCTCTGAGGAATAATTTATATCATACAACCAATCAATCAATCCCATTTCTTTGTATAATTATGGTCTTATTTTCTGAAGTTGTGTGAATATGGTAAAACATGTATTTTGTCTGATAACTATTGTTGTACTAATGGGTTTAACCCTAACTCACTTCAGAGACTCAGTGATTGTCTTGTTACCATCAGGGAATAATCTTAGAATATGCAAACGATGATATATTCCTGCTTTTAGGTGAAGATGCTGACAAAATCCAGCAGTCTTCTGAACACCTTGACAGGCTGCAATCTACGAATGTTTGGCATGTGATTCGCTCCCGCCAAATGTAAGATGATGTTACAGGACTGGACTACACAGACTCCCTAGCACGTTGACCAGTTTACTCATTCGGGAAGTTGCATCAACCAATATCAGCGGGTTGATCGCTGACTAAATCTCAGAACGGATATAGAAGGCTAGTTTACGCCGTCTTTGGCTTAGTAGACGTGATATGGAGTTTCCCGGCGCAGGTGTGTGCGTCGGTAGCACAGTGGTTAGGACTTTCGCCGACTATGCACATGGTCCGTGGTTCAATCCCCTAGAAATATGTAATATAATTTACCAAATAACATACAATGGCTGTTAGGCTAAATTGTATAGGTCAAACTACTGGGTCAAAGTTAATTAGATTATTGGAATAGAGAAATGTAACTGGAGTTGAAATGACTGACCTTGCTAAGCTAAATAACATTTTAAAAAAATGTCAGTGATTGCAATGCATTCACTTGTATGTAGTCACACAATTGGTTGGGAT